GATCATTTAACATTTGTTTGGTATTGATGCAACCATTGTACGGCGGTCCATACATCCATGAGCATTCTCCTTTTACGGAACCCTCACTGCAAGAATCTCCCATTGAAAAAAGAGGTAAATTTAAAAAATCAAAAACCCGACTGCGTCATTGTACTTCAAATAAAAACTGAAAAGAAAAAAACAAGTCCAGTAGTCTATAATTCTGTTAATAAAGAAGCTACTTTAACAGTCGGGACCCATTAGATATTCAAGAATACATAATATTTTTCAATAATGGGTCCCGAGGCTGGCTGCGCGTCGCGCTTCGCGCTCTTGCATTGCGCAGTCGGGTAAGAAAGAAGAATCACTCAAATCAGGACCAGTACCCTTAGTATAAGTTTGAGCTCACGAAAACTATCATAGTTTTCGTAATTGTAAATTATGTTTCTATGTACATTTTGGTGAATACTAACCAAATATACTTAAAATTTAAGAGGACGCAAATAATTTAATGATAGAATTTAAACATTGTTTATTTGTATTGAAACGAAAACAATAAAATCAGTACCCTCAGTACGAGTGCGAGCTCACGAAAACTATCATAGTTTTCGCAATAGTACAACTCGTACTAAGGGTACAGTAATCTTTAAGTAATTAGTGTGAATATAAACAAAATATCGTGTAAAGTTCATCGTCCAAGTTATTAAAATGCTTATAAAATAAAAACTACAGGGCCACATTAGATAAAAAATGCATGGGACCAAATGGCAGCTTTTCCGCATCAAACAAAAAAAAGCACTCAAATCGGTTTTTTTTTTTAAGAATCCGGCTTCCCCACTCGGTGTCAGGATTTTTTCTTTCTTTTTGTTTTTGTATTTATATTTTTGTACAGTTTTTCTTTTCTCTTTGTCTTATTTTTTTTGTGCGAGCTTTTCTTTTCTCTTTTATATTTTTCAAAATTTTTACATATAACTGTTCTTAATATCTATTACATTTGTTTCTTTTTAATATTATTATTTATCTTACATTTACAGTCTCTGCTCTTTCTTATTCTATACGAGTTTGTTTCGTCTTTCTTTCCTTCTAGTTAGCTAAACTTAACAATACTCAAATCGGATTAGAAATCTCGGAGTAATCGGTGCACATACATAAAATAAAACTTACCGACCGAATGGATAACCTCCTCCTTTTTGAAGTCGGTTAAAAATAATTATTTATTTATTTTCAAATATATCATGCTAAAAAAAAATTTTTTAAGCATGCAACTGCTTGATGTTGAAATCTAAAGAAAATATAACTAGAAAAAATACCACGCGGTCCAGGCAGCAGACGGGACTCGAACCCGCACCCTTCGCTATACGGGCGAATGCACTGACCAATTATGCTACCGCGGCCCGGCCCTTTAGATTTAAATATCAAGCAGTTACATGCTTAAAAAATATTTTTTTAACTATAATTGCTATTTCTTCTTTCAAATGTTGAATACTTGTAAAAGTTTTCATTTGACATTGTGAGTTACCTACAATGCGAAGAGATGGCGCTGCCTTGCAGCTTAAGAATGGCTAGAAGAATTTCGACTTAATAATATGTATAATAATTGGTCAGTGCATTCGCCCGGATAGCGAAGGGTGCGGGTTCGAGTCCCGTCTGCTGCCTGGTCCGCGTGGAATTTTTTCTAGTTATATTTTCTTTAGATTTAAATATCTATCATGTTATTTTACTTATTTCCAAATATATCATGCTACTGTGGTACCAATTAGTGGCGTAAACCCTCATTGCTGACACTTCTCAGGGAAGGGAAGGAGTTCGCAAAACATATTTGAAACAGGATGCAAGGGTTAAAGTCGAAACTTAATTCCTGATTCGGGTTTGACTGTGCGCATTGCATACATAGTTTGAAGCTGACTTTCCACTATAGAATCCTATATCTTTGTAATAAAAAAATAAGGTTTACATATTTATAGTCAAAGCCAAACCAATATCTTCTATGTGCAGTAGATTTCAACATCCATCGTAATGACTAGTATTCTCTGACATAATAACTGATCTTTGAAAACAAAGACTGCTATGCGAATCTTGAGCATTAAGTACAAAAGTGAACAAAGATTGTTTAAAAATATGCTCGTCGTATCCAGCTCGGATGGGCAGTGTTCGGGAAGCTACGAAAAATATTCGTGTCCGAATTACCTCAGTGTCTAAAGACAAAAGTCTTTGAGCATTGTGTGTTGCCAATGATGACCTACGGAAGCGAGACGTGGTCTTTTACTGCGGGTCTCATAAGAAGGCTCAAGGTCACACAGCGAGCAATGGAGAGAGCGATGCTTGGTGTTTCTCTACGCGATAGAATCAAAAATGAGGAAATACGTAGGTAACGGTAAACGGTAACTTCGGTTACCGATATCGCTCGAACGATTGCTCTGCTGAAGTGGCAGTGGGCGGGACACGTAGCAAGAAGAACCGATGGCCGTTGGGGCGGAAAGGTTCTGGAATGGCGACCACGCACCGGACGACGCTCAGTGGGCAGGCCGCCAACAAGGTTAACCGACGATCTTGTGAAGGTCGCGGGAAGCCGATGGATGCGAGTGGCGCAGGACCGATCGGAGTATAGATCCTTGGGGGAGGCCTATGCTCAGCAGTGGGCGTCATACGGCTGACATGATGATGATGATGCTATGTGCATGCATCATGCATGTACCCTTTGCAAGAACTAATATTGAAATCGAATAGTTTGCGAGTCCGAAATGTCATTGTCAAATGTGTGCTGATTTTTAGTTCTCGTTACGTACTTTGCGGCGGCGCTGCCGCTCAAGTTTCCATACAAAATTTGACAATGAAATTTCTGACTCGCAAACAATTTGAATTCGATATTGATTCGAGCTAGGGGTACAGCAGCCAGAATATTGTCAGATATTAATTGCCATATTAAAGTATTTTGCAAAAAAGTAGTTTTTGGACATAACAGATATTGGTTTGGCAACGACCATAATGTAAGTATGAATTAGTATCAGTCATTCATGCGATATAAAATACATTGCCAGTACACCAGGGAAATCGTCTACTTACCAATTTATTTCTTCAATATAATAGGGGTGATGACGGGTACAGTAAACGAAATTCTATTTAGTCCGTCAGATAGATGATCAAAAAATAATGGACACGTATTTTTTCTTTGGGCAATCAACCAAAAAATGACAAAGTTATAGCGCGTCAAAGTTTGGGAGTAGGGGCTAGTGACGTCACTTTTAAGTGAAAATTGTACCAAAACGTGACGTCATGCGACTTTTCAAATCAATATATCTCTGCAATGTTTATATTATGTGAAAAAAGAAAAAATACGTGTCCAATACTTTTAAAAAAAAATAGTCTATTACTACGAAAATATTCCATCTAACCCATCTTACAATACGAGAGAATTAATTTTTAAGTTTCTGAGCACCAACCGCGCTCATAACAAGGAACATACGGTGTTAAAAGCGTAATATTTTATAAAAATCACCGTCCAAATTACAGGATTACGTTGACAAACGACCAGGACCCCATTAAACGACGTTGTGGTTACAAAGCAAGAGTTATTGTTGTACCTATAAAGCTATTACTCAGCATCTTGTAATGGTTTGACCATCAAGTTAAATACCAGCTGACCAAGCTTTGTCCATACTAGTACATAGACCGCGTTGTTTCATTCATAGTTAAATTTGACTGTAGTTAAATCCTCTAGCAAAAAAATAACCAAAGTAACCAAAAAAAATCTAAATTTGACACAAGTCGTAATTGAATTGTGCATTCTAGCTCACAAATTGAGTCCAAACGCTCGCAAAAACTAGCTACGTCGTAGCTTCGTTTCACCCCGCCCGACGACGTTGGACACAATTTGTAAGCAAGCCCATTTCATTGTTCGATTACATCACATAGAGTAGTAATTTCCAACAACAAAATCAAAATGCTTCCTTTCTTTTCAAACAGTCCATAAATATTATTTTATGAATTAAAATTTCCGATGAAACGAGATATATAAGTATTGATTACGCACACCATAAATATAAAACAATAGAAGAAGAAAAAAATGGAATGGAACATAACAAGTTGCTTATTTATTCGTTTTGGTATTTAAACAACGAAGGAAACTTGAATTAATTCAAATGTGAACATTATTTATTCATAGTTGCAAAGCTTGATGAGTTTAGATGTGCGACGCAATGAGCATCTTGCACCAAGGGTCCTGGTCATTTAACCCTACATTCCGTTTTCCCTGGTCATTACCAAGGTTAATATAACACGCGTTGTGACTTATGTGTACCGCAGTAAAGTTCAAAATGTCCAGCTAACTTGATAATTCAAAAGCCGGTTCCGAGACATTAGCGAGTTGCAGAAAACCGGATCAGTAGAGGTGGGATCGAACGTCGGTTTCGGTACCAAACAACTTTTTGGTATTATTCGAAATATACCTGAGTTTCTATTTACGTTCTGTTTTATATGGTAATATTATTGTACATGTGATGCACTAACACGATGTTACTGTTGGAGACCAATATCAGGAAAATGTGTATTGGGTGCCGGTGCAAAATTATTTTCCATCATTGAACCATACAGCTGGTTTAAATGAATGGATCTCACATAAATCTTCGTCTTGATTTTTCCGGTGAGCGGAGAAAGCTTTTGCCTAATCATGTTTGTTCAACGAATGAGAAATAGAACTTAGAGAAGTGGCTAAACAAATAGGACAAAAGAGTTTTTAGAGCTTACTTGGAATATATGTATATGCAAAAAACGCATGAGCCCTATCACGTAGAATCGGTAATTTTGCGTTGACTGTTTTTATTTCATTCAAAGCTTTCAATGTTTATATAAGACACTGAAATAAGATTTTAAATCACTAAAACCTTTATGTCTTACAATAAATGATATAATATTGGTTAATTGTGTTGTACCTAAGTTGTATATAATTTATAATAATGATTATTATATTTAGGTACCAGAAATTACATTGGTAACAAATGTAAATATGAATCTTTCGGTTCGGACCGCCATTGGTATCAAACAGTATGGTACCGTGGCGGCCACCACTATTTTATTATTTTCCTCGCAAAACATCGCATTCATAATAATAAACAGGATCGACAACATTCAGTGACCATCTTTGATAACAAACGGATACAATATCGGTTACTAGTCAGTAGCAATATAAAAACTTTTATAAATAGGATGTTTCAATAAATGTAATAATTCTTCAAGTGCGATTGTGAGTGACATTATTACAGTGCAAGTGACATTATGTGTATTTAAATAACAAATACTTATAATAGAAGAAAGAAGTGTTTTTTGGTGGATTAATAATTTCTATAATTATTGGTAGAAATACAACCAACAACTGGTTTTTCGACCGCCTTTATAAACGTTCGTCAGACAAAATCAGGTAGGTAAACTTAATATTCGTTGTTGTGTTATTGAGGATAACTTCCGCATATATTTTTTCACATCTGACATTTGGTAAGTTTGGTAAGATAGCATTGAATTATTTTGACTTCGATCAAGTTTTTAATGTAGCCTACCTATCTTTTCCTTTTCATTAAAAGCTACGCATCTTTATTTAGTATTCCATTAGAGTAATATAAGTTATTTACGGGATTGTTACCATTTACCTTGTTTTTAGCGAGTTTCCGATATTTCGGCACTGTTGCAAGTAAATAACTTATATTACTATAATGTTAGTGACCATGAAAGTTTAAAACAATATAAAGTATTCCATTAGTTCTAAATCTAAGTCAATTTCATAAACGCCAGTTAAAAGAGTGGTGATCATCTGGGAACAGGGATATTTATAGAACTCTTTAAGAGACGGATTGCATGCTAATTGATTTTTCGACCAATCAACTTTTGGATATTATGTCTGAAAACATGCAAACATATAAACAGACATGCTGTTTGAAACATAAAAGATCGCAACAAAAGAAACATCCTATCTAATCCTAGATTAAAACAAAGATTTCTGATATTATAGATGCAAGAGTGAGTTTGTTTTTGTATGCATATAGCCTACTAGCGGCCCGTCCTCGCTTCGCTTCGGTGTAGAGCTCAAGTGTAGATTACAGTTTTTGTTCTCAGGCTTGTATTATACACAATGACATTCATCTATGATTCTTCTTATACCTGCATGCAAAGTCTCAGCCCGATCGGTTTAAAATTGACAAAGTTGCATACAAACCATCATTCCTTATTTTATCCCTTTGGGGGTAGAATTGATCAAAATCCTTTCTTAGCGGATTCCTACGTCATAACATCTACCTGTATGCCAAATTTCAGCCCGATTCGTCCAGTGGTTTGTGCTGTGCGTTGATAGATCACTATGTCAGTCAGTCACCTTTGAGTTTTATATATACACACATCAAAAGTGTCTAGGGATCAACATATATTTTTGCAATAACTTTTCTCCTGATTGATATTAATTAAAATTTTCTTTAAGGATTCATCAAATAAAGTGTTTTCGTTTGTCACAGTAACGATAAACCAAGTCACCTTTGCATTAATAAAGAAATTTGCCATTTTCCTAATAAAGGGATTTTTGACATTTGAACCACTAACACAAAAGTTCGAAAAAAAGACTGAAATAACAGTTTTCTCTAAAATTTTATTGGGTAACTTAAACAATTAATAATCCGTATTTCTACCGCGAACACTAACAACACAAGAACATCGGTTTGGCATACTCAAAATGAGTTCATCCAAATCACGCTGTGGAATGGCCGCCCATGTTCGTTGCAACAACAAAAAAAGGTCTTCTTGCGACTGGATACCCTCCATATTCGGCAGAGCTCTTCTCTGTAGCATATCCCATGCATGCTCAATCGGGTTCAAGTCTGGCGACTGAGCAGGCCAGGGCAGAACATTGATGTTAGCTGCGGCGAAAGTCTGTCTTACAACTCTTGCGGTGTGCGGTCGTGCATTATCATGCATTAACTGAAATAAGGGACCGATTTGCACTTGTAGAGGAACGATGACGTCTGATACAATCGTCTCAGCATAAATTTGAGCGTTGAGGTTGCCTCTGATCCAAATCAACTCAGTTCTTCCGCCGATCCAAATACCCGCCCATACCATGATGGTTCCACCACTATAAGGATGGACTTCCTGGCAGGATTTTAATCGCTGTTGGCGTCCAGGGGTTCTCCAGTGTCGTATACGTCTTGTATCCGGTCTCATACCAAAACGAGACTCATCAGAAAAGCACACGAAACGCCATTGTTCTTCTGCCCAATTTCTGTGTTCAAGAGCCCATTGATATCGAATCCTACGATTGTGCATTGCTATGGTGGTACCCGTAGCGGTCTTCGGGAATGAAGGTTCACTTCATGCAAGCGGTTTCTGACTGTTTGGTCGCTAATTAAGTTCCCTGAAGAGTGATGAAGCCTCACGGCTAACATCATGGCGGTTATTGTTGGAGCTCTTCGAGTTAAGATTTGAATGTATCGGTCTTGTCTCCGTGTGGTGCAGCGATACCGTCCTCCATGGCGCTCAGCCACGGTACCAGTGCTTCGGTATCGTATCCAAAGTCGACTGATAACACTCTGACTTGTATTCAGAGCTAAAGCCACAGTACGTTGCCGGGAACCAGCTTCTATCATTCCCACGGCTCTGAGCATTTCTTCCCTGCTTAAATGACGTCGCCGCTCCATAATAACGTTGGTTTTAATCAGTAGTAGGGAAACAGTAGCACTAATAATGTCTTCAATGCGTTGTATGTTTTTATAGGGAAAATATTGACAGCTGATTTTCATCTTTTACTCGAATTTGATTCACAGTTCCTGATTCAAATTATGAAATGCACCAAAAAGGATCCATATAAATTTATAAAATCATAAATTTATTACAAAGCCACATCTCAATCTCAAGAAATCCGCATAAAAATGCTTGATCCCTAGACACTTTTGATGTGTGTATATAGATGACCTGGATTGAGACATAGAATTCTTTTTTTCCCCGGAAATGGATACTGGGAGATTTTCAAAAAACTAAAGTTAATGCGGACGAAGTCGCTGCCGGCTACCTAATTATCACTTCAATACATTAATGATTGAATCTATACTTATGAGAATATCATTCGTTAAATAAAATTGCATTGACTTGTTAATGAGCATTAAAGTGTGGACATCGTTAAGTATACCTATTCTTTTGTCATTATAAAACTAGTTTGGTATCATAACATTTATACATAAATTCCATTATAAACTCCATCTTATTTTGAATCATAAATAACTATCATCATCATAATGTGCCTTCCGAAGCACGGAGAAGCTTGAGATAGTAAATTTTTGGTCACCCATCCAATGACTGACCACTGCGAAAGTTGCTTAACTAATATAAATAACAATTATACATACTAATACCACTAAGGCAGCGGCAACGTAATTTGTGCCAATTTACGTTTGGACAACTAAATCAGTGTTGCCAACTCGGATTTTGAAAAAGGCGTAGGCCCGATGAGAAAATTACGTAGATTTAGTAATTTTTGCATATGAATAGTACGTAGATCTACGTACTTTTTTCTGAGTGAAATTAAGAAGTCAGGTGAAACCGAATGAAACGAGTATTTTGTTATACAATTTCTTTACAAACGGGAGATAGAACAAAGAGTTCTTGGAGAAATCGCTGCATTGGAAGCATTTACCACGCTGCGGTAGACCATGACCATGTGGTATTATAAAACCATGATTTCTAATAGATCACATGAAAAATAGAGTTAGTTATCATAATACACTTGGTAAAAGACTCTAGAAAGTTGTGGTTAAAATTGCCAAGAGAAATAATACATACACTTATATATGAACACATGTTCAAAACCTACTAATTCCTGTAACTTTATCTATCGACTGAAAGTCATTTCTTTTTGCAAACATCAATTCGATGTAAGTATTCATTGAATAATATTTAAAGTTTAAAAATTCAATTTTTAAGGTTACGAATGTACCTACTAAGTCAAAGTGTTTTATCGTTTCTCCTTTCACAAATCCTGCGTCCAGCATTAATTTAATCAACAAAACCAATGACGGGAACCTTTTCTACAAGATACAAGAGTTTTTAGATACATCTTTATAATAAATAAACATTTTTATAGTTTTTAAGAAAAGTAACGGAAAATATTCTTCTTTATTCTAGTGAATAAAGTTATTTTACAAATTTGAAAAAATTAAAGAAAATACGTAGATTCTGGGACTAAAGTTAGTAGGTTTGCAGAAAAGGCCTAAAATACGTAGATCTACGTAAAAAGACGTAGAGTTGGCAACACTGAACTAAATGTCAATTTTTGATATCTATATACTAAGAGAAAAACTCGCGAACTACATAGATGGAGTAGGTACTTATTTATAATCTAGTTTAGAGACTAGATTTAAGAACTTAGCGAAGAGTTAGGTTAAGTTTTCTTGAAGTTTTTACGCACATATCTATTTTTTTGTATGTAAGAATCTTTTACAAAAGAATTAAAAATAAATTTGTATTAAATTAAGTATAATGAAACGTCAATAAGAAAACGTTATTCATAACTTTATTTGTCACGTTAAAAAATAAGTGGGAAATTTTTGAAACCCAAAATTTATTTATCTTTGTATCTAGTTTAATTCACCATTGCAAAAACTATGGAAATTACTGTAAAAATAGAGGTGCTTACCCCACGGCTGTCCAAAAAAAATGTTAACCGAATTAGTAAACGTAGGAACAAATCCTTCGTGGATTAAAAATTGGAAAATTTTCATATACGTTTACAAAAAAACAAAAGTAACTAGTACAAATTCCTATTTTATCATAATAACGACGATAATAACGACAACACAGAATAAATAATAGCTAAGAAAAATTGAAAATGACAAGATTGACAAGCCAAGATCCATAGATATCTATCTTATTTTATATACTCAAAGGTGATTGACTGACTGACATAGTGATCTATCAACACACAGCCCAAACCACTGGACGGATCGGGCTGAAATTTGGCATGCAGGTAGATGTTATGATGTAGGCATTCGCCTAAGAAAGGATTTTGATCAATTCTACCCCCAAGGGAATAAAATAGGGAATGAAAGTTTGTATGAAACTTTGTCAATTTTGAATCGATCGGGCTGAGACTTTGCATGCAGGTATAAGAAGAATCATAGATGAATGTCATTGTATATAATACAAGCCTGAGAACAAAAACTTTAGTGTACACTTCAGCTCTACACCGAAGCGTAGCAAGGGCGGGCCACTAGTATTTTATATATCGAAGGCTCTTTACCAGTCGATGTATGTCTACTGATCTTACGTAGATAAATATCTATTGCGACATGGTGAGAATAGGTCAAAATGGTTTACGGTCGTTAAAAGTCAGTTCATTCGATATACTCGTATATCGAAGTTGATAATATCTACGCCGCGAAAATTGGGCCTCAGGTGGCTGAGACCGTTGAAGTTAAGCAACTTAATAAATCATTAAATTTAATAGACGATCGATTCTGAACGATCATTTTTTAATAATAAATAATCATATTATAATAATTTTAGTAAAAAAACTGGCCAAGTACGAGTCGTACACGCGCATAAAGGGTTCGTATCATTTCTGTATACAATATTAGATCACTATGATTTTAACATGTCTTGCCGACCTTGACACCAAACCGAAACACCAGTTTCATGGTGGCCATTTTTTTCCCAACCGAAGTTTAAATATAAACCAAAAAACGTAAAAAAATACGTTTTTTCCATTTTTTTTACCGTTACAGCGGTAACAGAAACACATCATCTGTAAAAAATCAACTGTCTTAGCTATAACGGTTCAAAAGTAACAGACAGACAATGGAGTCTTTTACCCTTTGGGTACAGAACCCTAAAAATCAAATCACCTTTTAAAAGAATATGCTTTTGGCCCTAACGCCCTCGAGGAATAATTTATTTTATCAAAATCAAAAATCATTCAGTCTAGGCTGTTACAAGCAATTGTGAAGGTCAAGAAGCTACGCCATCGGTTCAAAAAACTACGACGGGAGACCTTGTGCTGAGAAGAACCGGCAAGAAACTCAACAAGGGCTGTTTCTTTTCTCCCTGTATTGTTATATACAGAGTCGTCAAGTTGAAATATTACTTCAGACATACTTCTGAAGTCCCTTTCCATTACATCATTTAGAATATAGATATATAGTTACTATAAATTTTATAGTTAACTTTATATTATTTAGTACCTATATAGGAAGCGGCATCAGATAGGTACCATATTACTGTTATGAAAAATAACTAATATCCATCAAATAACAAATTACAAGAAACACTATGTCCATGCATTACGATGATTTTGATAATCATCTTCTTTATATTTTTTTTTTTCTAGATGATGACATATTCGATGATATCGCATCAAAAACAAAATTAATATAAACTAGCAAACCAGTGAACCAAATGTTCACCAAAACCTGATATAAAAAAAAAATGTATTTAATTAAATGAGAACTTCGGAGATTTTGTGTGGTTTCGTTTGAAATTCGTGATTTCTCGAAAACCGGAAGTGCTACGTTACTCAAATCCGGTTTGTAGTCTTATCAGACTATTCTTAACTTATAACTTAAATATTCTCTTTATCTATCTCTTACGGTTTGGCCGCTGAAACAGCACCACAGACGGACGGACTTGTATAATAGATAAGAGATATCTGACACAGTGACCTTCTGTTCTGATATGAAGAATCATTGACCTTCTTCATCTTACAGTCAATCAGATTTTCAGTCAAGCAAATTGACAATATGCTGTTTGCAAAAACAATAACCCATCAAATGTAGCTTGCCTAGAGAAAGGAAGTTAGTAAATCTATAATATAATAAAAATGAATCGCTGAATGTGTTGCTAAGCGCAAATCCAGCTGAACCGATTTCTATAATTCTGTTTTTAGAATATTCCTTGAAGTACGAGGATGGTTCTTACGCTGAGAAAAATTAAAAAAAATGCCTAAAAAGTCCAAGAACAACAATTTTCTATACTCCCATACAAACGATTCGTAATAATACTTCAAAGTCAATTTGGACTTTAATACCATAGGTACCATAAATTTCAAATATTAGTGGAGAGGTTCCGGGAAGGCAAAACAATTGAGTGACGTGATGTCAATAAAGGCAAATCTACCATTTTCAGTTCTTTTTTATAATTATATGAAGAGGCATTTTAATCTACACTACAGCCCTACCACAGAATATATACACTACGGCCCTACACCGAAGCGAAGCCAGGGCGGGTCACTAGTTTTTGATAAAAATATTATCCAATCAATATAGGTAATATGTGAACCATGCTACCAAATGTAGTCTTCCAGATAGTGTTTACCTCAACATATTATTGTAAAAAATTTAAATAATTATATGGGAAATGAAATCAGGAGCTCGATGGCGCAAGTGGTTCGCGCGTTCGGCGGCGATCGTTGAAGTTAAGCAATTTTCGCAGTGGTCGGTCATTGGATGGCTGACCAAAAATTTACTATATCGAGCTCCTCCGTGCTTCGGAAGCCACGTTAAGCCGTTGGTCCCAGCTGCATCTGCAGTCGTTAGCACCATTATAGTCATTCGCACTGGGCCCGCATGGTGGATCATGGCCCGATCTCCCTATTCCATTTAGTCTTTTCCCCACCAGTGGGAACATAAATAGGCTGATGATGATGATGGGAAATTTTACCCAATAATAGATGAGCCGCGCCAATAATTCGGACGGAATTGGAATAACATTTTTTTAATACTATCAGAATCTCATCATCATCAGTTAATTAATTACGGCTAGCTAATAGCTAATAAATGTTAAAACTAACAGCCAATATTTTTATGATCGGGTATTTCCTGACGTTATCGTTGTAATTACAATCTGCATATAAACTTATGTGATGGTGGACAGATTCTTCAAAAATTTTCCTCATTCAATTTACGTACCACAACAACTTTATCGTCAGAGAAGCTTCTTATAAATAGCTGAGAAATGGAAAATGGAAATGTGAATCCTACTTAATCCTTTAGTAATATTACAAATTTTATATGAAAGTTTGTATTTTTGTTTCTCGAACACGCAAAAACTACTGAAAAAAGGATGAAATTTGGTACACGTATTTTGTATCCCGGAACAGTATTAGTTTTCTGTGGGATAGTCAAAAAACTATAGTTTCCGCCTTAACTCTAGTTTAGTTTTTTGAAGTCTAAGTCGCGGGCGACCGCTAGAATTATTAATGTGAAAGTTTGTTTGTGTGTTTATTACGACGACGAAAGAAATGACACGGTTGTCTCGTCTCTAATAGTTGCCGTATAATTTGTGTACTATCTAAAAACACATAGGGCTTTTTGTCTGAAAAAAGATGTAATACATAGTTATTAATGATATTAGTGCGGTAAGTTGGGAATTACAAACAAGTAGACGAATGTAAGCACGAGACAAAATCGAGTCTTAAGTGATGGTATTAAAAACTCGATTATTATTATTATTATCGATGGATATGCAATTTTCTCTTTAGTTGTGTACACTGTAGATATCAAATAAGTTAGCGAATAAGCCGACTGGTCATTGCGAAACACAATCGCAAACTTGCTTAAACTCGACTTTGATTTATAGAACTTATTTTTTTTATTTGAAAAAATACATTTTGGGTTGCGTACAGTGTCAATACAAAATCAATTAATAATTCAATAACATCCAGTTTGTAATACCAATCTGCACGAATGTCATATAACGTTTTTCAACACATTTGCGAGAAAACATTATACCTACATTTCAATCAATGTAAGAATTTTTTCTCTAATAAAATGGCGCGCATTTCCAAATGGCGCCACGTGCGGTTGGTGAAAATTAGAACTACATCCATGGAGGTGAGATATAAGGAGAACGATCGCTGTAGAAAATAGTGTCCCAGAAATATGGACAAAATAAGTCGTCAAATCGCTAAGTTGTCTCAATAAAAGCGCTAATTTGAAATGACCAATGCCGCGAAGAAAATTTGTACTTACAATATTCGAGTAACTTCATCTACTTGTACTCATAAACAGCTAACTTCACAGATACTACTTACCGACGGCAGCGCGGCGGGTGGCTGAAAAATGAACTATAAATTCTACAAATTTTCAGGGTCAGGCGGGCTAATACTTTAACACGCAGCGATCGTTCTCTTTCTCTCTAACCTCCATGACTAAATCTTTCGTCTCTTTTTTTCTTTTTAGTATTATACACTAGTTGACCCCGCGTACTTCGTACGGGTTAAAATAATTTGGAAGAAATAACGGACCCGAGTCTACCGTACCAAAAGGGACGAACGTCAAATGTTTGACAGGAAAGAAGATAGAAAAGTTTATATGGGAAAATTAAATTGACGTTTTTACTATCTTCCTCGTAATTTTTCCATATAATCTCACCTTTTAAACCTTCCCTAGACCTCCACGAACATTTCAAGACCAAGATAAGATAAATCCGTTTAGCCGTTCTCGAGTTTTAGGGAGACTAACGAACAGCAATTGATTATTATATATATAGATTACATAGACATTAGTACAGAAATTGAAAAAAAAACCGTAAAGACGGTGCATTGTATGGTCCGCTGTATAGCCCCTAATTTTGAATTTTCGAACAATGTATACAACCTTCGTAAATGCATTTTATGATCAAATGTGTTGAAAAATATTTAGCAAAATGTATCAGCAGCGAGAGAGCGTGCCCGACTAAACGCAAGTCGGGCAATTACCTGAATTTCGTATTGCCAAATTAGAAGCATGTATGACGTATCTATAACTATAGTATAGAACATCATAGGTTGCCATAGGAAAGTTTATGACTACATAGCTACTTTTACAAGCTAAATAGCTTAAAATTTTCTTTATCAATGAAACTGCAATTCTATTATGTAAGAACAAGCTCACTTTTCATCACATGAGCAAAGAAACGATATCCGTACTTTTTGCTGCGTAATTCGCCGCAGTGAATTGGAATTTACTTAAAATTCTCATTTTATTAAAAACTAGTGGCTCGCCCTCGCTTCGCTTCGGTATTATATCCCCTTGGGGATAGAATTGATCAAAATCCTTTCTTAGCGGATGCCTACGTCATAACATCTACCTGCATGCCAAATTTCAGCAAAATCCGTCCAGTGGTTTGGGCTGTGCGTTGATAAATCACTATGTCAGTCAGTCACCTTTAAGTTTTATATATATATATATTTCAAAGCGCATTACGCGGTGAAAAATGTGTTAGTTCTTACAGAATAATAGCACATGTGATAACAATGCTGTTCATAATTGATTTTAGCTACATTTCCACGAGGAAATGTTACATAACTCTTTTTATTATTTCCAGATCGTTGGAGGAAGCAGTATGGCCGACGCTAAATGGAGACTTGTTCTACCTGTTTGTATGACCGCCTTGTTCGTATTTTGGACGACAGGGTCGACTGGTGAGAAATACGCAATTATACTACAACTCCAAATGTTATGGTAGCCATACACACTACGAGAAATCGTTACGATCAAACTGTACAGTTCGAACGGTACCGATAAATCGTAGCGTGTATGTTATAAAACTCCACAGTTTCCTATACGTACGCCACGTCCGATAAACTGTTCCGTTCGAACTGTACAGTCTGATCGTAACGATTTCTCGTAGTGTATATAGCTAGCATTATAAAACTGCACAGTTTCCTATACGTACGCCACGTACGATAAACTGTTCCGTTCGAACTGTAGAAAATAGTGTCTGATCGTAACGATTTCTCGTAGTGTGTATGGCTACCATTAGATAATTCAGTTAAGAACTTTGCTTCTAGGAGTCATATGTGTCGTGTGATTCGGGTCGTTGCTTTCCCTAAAATATAGTTGAGCAAAGCGATAGCTGGTTCATGCGTCATCGCCATGCTCATGAATGGGAGCTCATGCTGCCAGCGGAGATGAGTTTGCTCTATACTACTTTACTATTGAAATGTTATCTAGTTACACCTGATATAAATAAACACTAAGTAAATTGTATTTAAACTGTATGACATAGCAATCAAAATGCTATTCGACGATATTTAAGTTGAATTATAAAATCTTAGTGTCACCGCACACGGGCCACCGACCACAGCCACAAAACGCCACCGCTACCGGCATATTTCTTGTAGTTTTCATACATTTTATATGGACACGCCACAAACGGTACGCCGGTGGCCGCCACACGCTACAAATCGTCGTTGCACGCTTCTTGTGGCCCGCGCCGGCCACTTAGTCTTAATGTGCCGACACAAAACGCGCCGCCACACGTCACTCGCGCGATTCCCCACCCCTCTCTCCCTTACCTTAGTCGGCCGCTGTCGCGCGCTTCAGCCACTTTAGAAGCCGCTTCTAGCTTCTCGTGGCGGCGTTTGTGGCTGTGGCGTGTGACCTTTTTTTTTATTGATACTGTATGTAACCCAAAAATGATAAAACACATTTTTTTTTTCAAATAAAAATGAATGATATGTTTTATAAATCAAGATTTAAGCAAGTTTGCGATTGTGTTTCGCAATGACGAGTCGTCTTATTCGCAAACTTTTTTGACATTTACAGTGTACAACTAAAGAGAAAATTGCATATCCAACGATGCTTTTCAGAACAAGTATCTTAGCGGCGTTATAATAAAGCAGTAGGTAGTCACTAAATAGCTCGATGATTATCACTTCCATCTGTCAAAAGCAGTTAGCGAATAGGCATACAGGTCGGATAGGTAACCAAAATTGTATCATTTTGAACTCCTCTGTGCTTTGGAAGGCAGGTTGAGCCGTTGGTCCCGTCTGTATCTGCAGTTAATGACACCCACCAACGGATTGGGCCCGCGTAGTGGGCTCAATCTTCCTATTCTATCCTTTGGAAAAATCTGTGCCACAGCAGTGGGGACATGATGATGATTATAGTATCCACCCTATCAGAACGTAACAACACTTCTCATACATCGATTTTCAGGACAGTTCATACCGAACTTGAACAATGCGTGTTTTGCGTGCCTTTGCCACGTGTCCACACTATGCGACATGTCGCACGGCTGCACAGCGGGTTACTGCGGACCCTACAACATCTCCAGGGTGTACTGGGTGGATGCCGGGAAAGTCACATTGCCGGACGACGACCCGAATAGAAATCACGGTAAGGACTACCACAATTTGTCGTATTAAGAAGATCATGACCCACCACATGCCTCATGGGTTTCGACTTCTGACGGTGCACCGCCATGAGTTTTAACCCATGCCTTACCTACCATGATCCTTTTTTTTATTACGCAGACAAAATTTCTATTTAGGTGCAGACGTTGGCGCCCTTAAGGGGCACACCAACGAACGGAACTGACACCTAGCCTCTCGTAAGTCTCACGGGTGCAAAACGGAGAAGCTATTAAGCAGTCGGCGCGGCTTACGAGCGCTTACGGCAAACTCTACGCTGTTAAGTGCGAAACCGCGAGATCCCCGTTAAGGGACTTCACCGCGGCTCCGCACCCAACAGCCTCCCAGCCTAGCCGGGGCTCCACGGCAGGTATCATCCGGGGTATTTCTGGTGACCCCGCAGACGTGCCCAGAACTGCCCATGCTAGGAGCTAAGTGCGCGGCCTATTGCCCACCGCACCACTCCCCGTCCGCTGCGGAAGAACTGCCGAGGAGTTCTCTTCGCAAGCTCTTCCGCGGCCCTCTCATGTAAGACAGAACTACAAGAGTGGGCTGCCGTCACAGAATCCGTTAGTGACCGGCATAGCTAACGCTATACCGGGCAGCGACGGATTTCCTCGGGTAGGGGGGTCACTGGGCGGGCGCGGCCAGGCCAGGGCGCGCCTTCGCCTTCGCCCTTCGCCCCATCCTGCCCTTCTGCGGCGGAAGGAAGCGGCCAGGGGATTATCCTTTCGTTCCCTCGCGGCCGCCTCATCCGAGATGACATCCTCGCAGAAGGAGACGGCTGCCCAAGCCGTCTCACCGCTGAGCATGGCCTCGACCGTTCTCCGCATCAAGAGGGTTCCACATCCTAGTGCCGCAATTAGCTGGCGGCGCTGTCGTCGCCAGACCGGGCATTCCAACAAGGTGTGCTCGGCCGTATCGTCGGGAGCGTCGCAGCGATGGTAGCGCGGTGTCTCCTCCCGACGGGCGACCCGGTGCAGATAGTGACCGAAACACCTATGTCTGGTCAGGATCTGCACCATGCGGAAGGTGAGGCCGCCGCGCCGGCGTCCCACCCACTCTTGCAACACCGGATGAAGGAGCTCTATCGTCCGGTGGCCGGCATCAGCATGGGCGAGTGCCTCATCCCATCGGCGCAGAGCTTCCTTCTGCGCGATGGAACGGATCTGCCGCAGCTCTGCTGCAGCCGGTAGCTCGCCCCGCTTCTTGGCTTCCCACATTGGGACACAGCAGTGCGGCTGCAGCGGCACACAAGTGTAGAGCGAGGAGACGTGCTCAAAGTGCTCCTCGAAACTCCATCGGGGGTACAGTACCCGGTCGAGGTATTTTAAGCTTCTCTCGACTGTTATTGTGACCCTCTCCACCCGGATACGGAGCTCCGCTGGGATCCAGTGGCGTGAGCCGTGGAACATCATGGCCCTCGTTTTTTCGAGGGCCACGTCAAGGCCCAAGAGGTGGACGCAAGATGGGCCGCCTCCTTCACCGTCTTCGCCTTCACCGCGACTAGAGTGTCGTCGGCGAAGCAGGCAACCTGACCCAGTTGTACCCCAAGTTCCAGAACAGTGGGCCCAGCACTGATCTTTGGGGTACACCTGCCGATGGCGGCAGGCCATGGGGACCGGGAGCGGAAGACGATGACCTACCATGACCCTGCCAGGGGGCATTGTGTTGGGCTCCACCACAGACTCCCTAACCTGTGAGCCCTGCGAAAAAACAATACTTACATCAAAAGACAAGACAAGCAACCCATTGCTCGTCCATCACACAAAAAAAAACAGGAAGCTAATTGTCTAACCTTTTACTGTTTCCGAGATTTTTCCTTGAACTATTGTTTCATTTTTTTTTTTAATTTTGAATTGACTAAGTCAAATGGTTCTGTCGGTTCTGATTTTATTAAAGCACATTTAAATGATCCTCAGAAAGTAAAATTTGGAAACATAACCCAACATTTCGGTTAGCAAATGTATTTTTAGGTGATCACTTACTACTTTTTGAGTATCATTTACATGTTTGCCTTTTATTAATGGATAAATACTGTGAATACTACTTACCTATAGGATATTTGACAAGTTTTTGAAAAGGATCTCACTTTATTGACTAATGTTTATGGAGTCCGTAAAAAGTGGATATTCATCATTCTGTTGTGTATTTCAGTGAAAATAACCAATTTTTCAAGTTGCCGCGAAAACGTTTCTCTGGACAATATGGCGTCTTACTAGTGTGTGACGTCACACGACTGTTATTAAAACGTCAAACGATACAATGTAATGTCACTTTAACCGGAAGTTTACTTGCGTGTGACGTCATTTTAGGCTCCGCCAATCCCAAGCGTTTTGGGTCACGTGACAATAGATAAGAAAACTATTATCTTTTTCGTGGGTTTTAGTCAAATTTAGAATATTTTTTTTTTTGTAAAAATAGTAAAATCCCCTGCCAATAATCATTCTAAACACAGATGCTAACAATTGTCACTTTATTTTTAATACTGTCAAATACCCTATTTAATAAATCCTATTCTTGAACAGTTACCTAATAGTTATATATTTTTTTAAAGCATGTAACTGCTTCATGTTTAAATCTAAAGAAAATATAATTCGAAAAAATTCCACGCGGACCAGGCAGACATCAAGCAGTTACATGCTTTAAAAAATAATAAAATTATAACTATAATTGCTATTTCTTCTTTCAAATGTTTAATACTTGTAAAAGTATTCATTTGACATTGTGGGTTACCTATAATGCGAAGAGATGGCGCTGCCTTGCAGCTTAAGAATGGCTAGAGGAATTTCGACGCGGTCCGTGAGGGCCGCGGTAGTATAATTGGTCAGTGCATTCGCCCGGATTGTGAAGGGTGCAGGTTCGAGTCCCGTCTGCTGCCTGGTCCGCGTGTAATTTTTTCTAGTTATATTTTTTTTAGTTACCTAATACATAAGCAAGGATACTATAATATGATTTTAATATGGCTGCTTGTAATTTTTCCAGCTTGGGAAGACTGCGCACGCAGCTATCCTTGCGCCAAAAGGATCATAGGGGGATACCTTCAAAGATTTGGAAAAGTATGTACCCTTTATGTATTATACTTTGTATGTGGTAATATAAAGTTCGTTAGAATAGTCGATGCTGCTAAGATCTTATATATAAAATTCTCGTGTCACAATGTTAGTTACCATACTCCTCCGAAACGGCCTGACCGATTTTTATGAAAATTTATATGCATATTTCGTGGGTCTGAGAATTGGCTACCATCTATTTTTCATAATTATCCTTAAGTAATTATGGTTGTCCACCTGTAACGTAGTGTTCTGAAACCTACAATGCGCCTTCGCGCCAAAATTCAAACTATTGGGTATTGTTACGTAGTGTTCTCATATGGGTCAGGAGGAATGTTATCCCAGGAAATCGATAGAACATTACGTTACACCCCCCTAAAATTATTTTTGGACAATATTTATTTTTTTATAATGTGGAATAAAAAAATACATACAACCCTAAAACCTGCCCCTATTTTTATGGCGGTACGAAGTTCGCTGGGTCAGCTAGTATTGTTATAATATTCAATTGTTAAAATATGTGAACGTTAACTTAATACCAATTGATATTCCATAAAGTTCAATCGAGTAGCTCGATGGCGCAAATGTGTAGCACCTTCGGCTATAATCATTGAAGTTAAGCAAGTTTCGCAATTGTCGGTCATAAGATGGGTGACCAAAAATTTACTATCTCTAAGGCACGTTAAGCCGTTGATCCCGGCTGCTTCTGCAGTCATTAGGACCCGCCAATAAGCACTGGGCCCGCGTAGTGGGCCGTGATCCAATGTGCCTATTCCATCCATAGGTAAGGCCTGTGCCCCAGCAGTGTGAACAATAATAGGCTGATGATTCCATAAAGTTTTCACTGGTGTTGTTAACGTTTAAGTTACGATACCACGCACTATCAATGTCATCATCATCATCAGCCTGTTAATGTCCCCACTGCTGCAGCACAGGCCTTCCCTATGGATGGAACAGGGAGATTGGGCTATGAACCACCACGCGGAGCCAGTGCGGATTAGCGGGTGCTAACGACTGCAGATACAGCCGGGTCCAACGGCTTAACGTGCCTTCCGAAGCACGGAGGGACTCGAGATAGAAGATTTTTGGTCACCCATCCAATGATCAACCACTGCGAAAGTTGCTTAACTTCAACGATCGCAGCCGAACGCGCTAACCACCAGCGATATCGAGCTCCTCTATCTATCCTATATCACCGATCAATGTATTCGCGCTAAAAAAAATCTCATTTCAAGGACTGCAACAGTGATGGAGTGACGAACTGTTTCGACTACATGATGATCAACGGTAACGGAGGGTACGGCTGCACCGCGCCTTTGAACCGCTCCGTCAACGGCCGCAGGTGGCTCAAGCGATATGAGGAATGCCGCCTCTAATACTCACTACACTTAACAAAAGCACAAAAAGGTGCTCATACTAGGCGTGCTGGGGATCTAAAATAGCCACATTTGTATTAAAGGTACAAGTCCGAACTGAACCGCAGACGACAGGCCGCAGCTGCAGACTGCAGACGACACTACTAGTTTCTATGAATCTCTATGAAATAGGGTATTTGACAAGTTTTAGGCGAATTAACGATCTCACGTTATTGACCAATGTTTATGGAGTCCGTAAAAATTGGATATTCATCATTCTGTTGTGTATTTCAGTTAAAATAACCTAATTAAAAACACTATTTTCAAGTTGCCGCGAAAACGTTTCTCTGGACAATATGGCGTCTTACTAGTGTGTCATACGTCACACGACTGTTATTAAAACGTCAAACGATACAATGTAATGTCACTTTAATCGAAAGTTTACTTGCGTGTGACGTCATTTTAGGCTGCGCCAATCCCGTTTTGCGTCACGTGACAATAGATAAGAAATCTTTTTCGAGGGTTTTTAGTAAAATTATGTTTTTTTTTGTAAAAATAGTAAAAACCCCTACCAATATTCATTCTAAACACAGATGCTAACAATTGGCACTTTATTTTTAATGCCGTCAAATACCCAATTAATTCCGAGCGCGGCGACATGCGGCGGCTGCACTAATATAATGCACGGTCAGCCGCAGTGTCGCCTGCGGTTGTCGCCTGCAGCCCATTGCGGAATTGCGCCTTAAACATAATTATAAATGAGGAGTTGGCGAACAAAAGGGTATAAATTAAATTAAAATTTACAGGAGCTGTATAAAACTGAATGACATACCTCCAGTGAGCTTTTGGCATGGTTTTTAATTTATAAATTTAGTAATTTTAACACTGTTTTAAGCGGTTGGGATTGAAAATTATTTGAGATTCAAATTCAACGGGCCCAAACCAAAACTAGTTGGACCAGATGCGTAATTATACCGTTTTGTTCGCCAGCTCCTCAAATATTGTTTCCCTTTTATGCATTCTTCAATTTGACAATATTGAATAACTTTTTTCTAAGTAGTCTTTTTACGAATTCTCATACAAATCTGTCAAACTTGAAATTTCAGGATTAGTTTTTTTCAAGTTTTCATTCAATAGTACCTTCAATAAATATTACTAGAAAAAAAATCTTCTCTGTCAAGGTTTCAAACGGAAATGAAACCCACATCTTTCGCTATCCGGGCGAACCAAGTGAATTTTTTTCTCTTAATATTTTCTTTAGCTTTAAACACTAACCTCCTTATTAATAGATGAGGAATAAGCTTAGACTAGTTAGTCTCTGTTCATAGGAACAGAGAAAAACATTTCGTAACTAAAACCTCAAAAATAATCTATATACATAAAACTCAAAGGTGACTGACTGACATAGTGATCTATCAACGCACAGCCCAAACCACTGGACGGATCGGGCTGAAATTTGGCATGCAGGTAGATTTTATGACGTAGGCATCCGCTAAGAAAGGATTTTGATCAATTCTACCCCCAAGGGGATAAAATAGGGAATGAGAGTTTGTATGAAACTTTGTCAATTTTAAACCGGTCGGGCTGACACTTTGCATGCAGGTATAAGAAGAATCAAAGATGAAAGTCATTGTGTATAATACAAGCCTGAGAACAAAAATGTTTCATATTAACAGACTGAAATTTACAGTGTATAATTTTAGTCAAATTCAGTGTTTATACACAGGCTGGAGATTACACATAGGGTACGGCCAGAGTGCACTCAGATTCAGATTCAGATTCAGACTCCGAAAACAAGCGCGAGAAATAAACAGTGTAGTTAAAACAGGGTGGCCATAGTGGCAGCAGGCAACCTGCTTAGACTACACTGTTTATTTCTCGCGCTTGTTTTCTGAGTCTGAATCTGAATCTGAATCTGAGTGTACTCTGGCCGTACCCTTAGGCTGGACAGGCAGCATACAAAGAAGTGGTTAAATTGATATTTTTGGAAATGTATTACAATGTTTAAATCTTAAGAAAATTTTACTAGAAAATATTCCACTCGGACCAGGCAGTTCTTCTTTCAAGTGTTTAATACTTGTAAAGGTATTCATTTGACATTGTGGGTTACCTACAATGCGAAAAGATGGTGCTGTCTTGCAGCCTAAAGCTAGAGAAAATTCGGCACGACCGCTGGGGCCGCGGTAACATAATGGTCAGTGCATTCGCCCGGATAGCGAAGGGTGCGGGTTCGAATCCCGTCTGCCTGCCTGGTCCGAGTGGTATTTTTCTAGTAATTTTTTCTTAAAATTTCAATGTATTGCTGTGTTGAGAATATATATATGTGTAAATAGACTTTTCCGCTATTTCTTAGCCAAGTTAGGGTTTCATTTGTTTAATAAATTAATACTAAGAGGTATAATATTTCAGTTGTATAAGATATCAAACGAAAATTAGATTAACTTTGAGTCACACCACTGATTTCATTTGTAAGTAGTTAAGGTAATATAAGTATAGATTAAAGATTTACTTATAACAAATTTGTAGTTTTTTTGGTACACTTATGCCAACACTGAATAACTACAATCATAGTAATATTTCTAATTATAGTAAATTGAGGGTTTTCTAAATTACGTGTAATTACGCTCGCTAGTTGGAAGCACCGTAGGCAAAAAATCCGCATTGAGTCTCATTATATAAAATTTAGTATTACACACAATAAAAGTAACAAAAATAAAAAAATATTTTGATGAATTTTCGGGCTAAGGAAAGCTCGGAAAATAACTTATGCGTTTGGTCATGAAAATGTGAAAGATTAAATAATGACGATATATGGATAATTGGATATTCTACGTAGAAGGAAACGACTTAAACTCCATTACCCCATCAGGTGGGAGATATTGGAACGAAGTTCCTTATCGCGCGTTGTGAAAGGGGGCTAGACGGAAAAAATTCTTACGAAAAGTTGTCACGACACTTTTTGCTATAGTAAGCTATTGTAAGCTGTGCGGCGTATTATACTCCCGTAATATGTGTGAAGTTAAAGGAAGTTTTTTTCATTATTAATTTGCAGTTTCTGAGAACATTTACCATAGTAGTGTATATTTTTTTTATACCATCAGAAAGTAGAAATTTCAACAAACATAAAACACATCAACTTTTTTAAAAAAGCAGATATTTTGACGTGAGAATTTTCGATTGAAAATTAGGGTGCTTTTTCGATATTAAGTCAAAATAAGGTGAAAAAATGAATATTTTAAATCAAAAAAATTACTGTATGTTTGGGACATACAAAGGTAAGTTTTCACTAAGTTTCGTGAAAGATTTTTTTTTTTGCAATAAATAAAAATAAAAAACTAAAAACTCGGTTATTCGAATTTTTCACATAGATTTTGAGGTTATGTGAAAAAAGTGTCGATACAAAAGTTGTACATCTTTTTATTACCTACAACTTTGCCATTTAACTTTTTTTCATAGGACTTGCAGTTTTACCGGAAATCGAGATTAACCGGTTTTTACCCATAAAAACTCACCCCCTCCCCCTTCCTGACCTCAGATCGCCCGTAATTTATTTTTCCTTTCATTTTTGTTATATTCTCTACCTTTTCCAGTGGGTTTCATCCTACTATAATTTTTCTTGGTCTCAAAAATTATCGACCCTGGTCTATAACGCCTGTGAGACATGATTATGATTACAAGGTGAGTACTTATCAGGAGGTGGCAGAGCGACGGGGGTGCATCACTGAAATATTGTGATATTACACCAACACTGAATATGTGTGAAGTTATAGGGAGTGGTAGAGCAACGAGGGTGCATCACTGAAATATTGTGATATTACACCAACACTGAATATGTGTAAAGTTATAGGGGGTGGTAGAGCGACGAGGGTGCATCACTGAAATATTGTTATATTACACCAACACTGAATATGTGTGAAGTTATAGGGGGTGGTAGAGCGACGAGGGTGCATCACTGAAATATTGTGATATTACACCAACACTGGATATTTGTGAAGTTATATCAAGCTGTGGACCAGTAACGCCTGTGAGACATGATTATGATTACAAGGTGAGTACTTATCAGGAGGTGGCAGAGCGATGGGGGTGCATCACTGGATTATTGTCACATTGTAGTTTATTCTAAACTGTGGGCCAGTCCTGCCTAGCATTCTTTACGAACGCTAGCGGGACATGATAATAAGGTGCGTATGTAGGGGGTGGCACAGCTACAAGGGTGCAGCACTGGAATATTGTGACATTACACGAAATCTGGATATTTGTGACGTTATACCGAGCTGTGGACCAGGAACGCCTGTCATCTGCTGTAAACTTAAGCTAGACATTATAACAAGGTCAGTACTTAACAGGGGGTGACAGAGCGACGGGGGTGCAACCCCAAATTATTGTGGCATTATACCAACACTGGATTATTGTCGTATATTATACTAAACTGTGGTTAAGTCCAGGGGGGTGGCAGAGCGACGGGGCTGCATTACTGGATTATTGTGACATTGTAGTTTATTATAAACTGTGGGCCAGTCCTGCCTAGCAATGTTTACGAACACTAGCTGACCGAACTGAAAAAAATGTGATAGTAAAACCGTAAGAAAAAATCCGTGGAAAAAAGTGCGTGGAATAAAACCGTTAAATGCGCATTAGCCGAAGGAACTTTGTTCCTACGTGGTGTCCCACGACACCTCTCAAGTTTTTTTTTTAACGCATCTGCGCTGCCGCCTCTGTCTAGGGAGTAAATAATAAAAGGGAGATTTTAATTAATATGTAACATGTTATAAATGCAGCTCAGAAAATACTTAAAGAAGAACACTTAACAGATGAATCATTATTGTTTTTACAGTGGAGCCCAGGTAATCCGGCCCCTGGCTAATGCGGCACCCCCTATAATCCGACATCATCTATTACATACAAGTATTCGCTAATTCACGATTGAACAAGTTACAACTTGTACGCACCATCACTATATATTAATATTACTTTTATAATAAAACGTAATCTTTCTATTGTGTTGTACCTATTTAAAAAAAAACATACATAATAAATAAGGTAGATTATAAAGATAAACATTGAATAATAAGTTAAATAGCTAGGTAAGATCAATAAAGGACATTGTTCTGCGTCCATACATAGTTAGCCTAAGAACCAACAATCATGAAATATTAGTTTCTAGGTTCGAAATCGCAAGT